GGTATACGGGCGAAAGTTTTACGTGACAACGACTATGTCTGTCTCTCTCGCTCTTAGGCGGGCTAACCATGCCCGATTGGAAGGGACGCGTGCCTCTCACTCGCTCTCATTGTGAGCGCATAACGTGAGCGGAGCGTAACGCAGTTTCTTGAAGTGTCACCCGGCAAACCAATTTATAAGACGTTGTCACGTCAAAACATTTTTTTGTTTGAAAAACCAATCGGGCTTATAAATTAGCGACCGAAAAAAATCCTTCTATAAAATAAAATAAATGTGCTTTCTCCATACGCGTTACAAAACTCCAATCCTTAGAAACTCCAACACCTACCACCTACTCAACTAGAATGCAAGAAACAGCTGACGAGTAAGTAACTTTTTATCTCAGCTAATTAACGTCTCTATAAATTACCTAATCTATAACCTACAACTCGCAACAACTCAAAACAAAAATTCTTTGGTCACCAATTAATTAATTATTAAAAAGCTGAACAGCTGACTACGAATGTTTTAAAATCACAACCCTCAAACATCTAAATATTATATATGAGTCTAGCTGTTGTTGTTAATACCGAGAAAATAAAACCAGTTTTTAGTGGTATATGTTGTTATAGTAGCAGCAGAAACACTTTGTGAAAATTTCGAAAACTGTCTAATGACACACAGACGGTAACAAATTTTTTTTAGTATTATTCATACACACAGATAATAAAGATATATTATTAATAATAAAATACCACGTCTTTAAGTAGAATTTTTTTTTTTTTTGAATTATGCAAAGTAACAAAACAAACATGCACCGAAGTTTTAACACAAGCGTAAGTAGGTAGGTACCTACCGTATCATGATTCATTCAGAACCGCATGTAACTCCCTATTTCACTCGTCTCAATAACTTTCCGTTACTCTATTTGCTTTATTTATTCATCCAAACACCTTTTTTTTCGTGAGATAAAAGGAAATACTTATCCATTAAAAAGACACACATTATGTACCTACGTACTAGTAAGTAAAATTATTTTATAGTCTTACTTTTCAGAGTTTCCAGGTAATTTAAAAAAACTTATGTCTGGATGCGTTATTGACGAATTCATACAACCAAAAACAGCACAATATTTCCTACTCGTCATATTAACTGATTTTTAGAGAAAAAATCGCGCGGTTATTGTTAAAAAAACAACACGCAGTCCGTTCGACACTGCGGTACAGCCGTGACTGTCTGCGCCCCGAGCGCACCCCGAGATCGAGTCGCGTAGGTATAGCTCCCGTTTCGTCCGTTTGTATGAAGTTGCAGTACTGTATTATAATAGTACCGTGCCGTGAGCATTCATTTACTCGATTCACCAAAGGCTTATAAATTTGTGTTTATCTAAGTATTCAGATGATTTACTTTCCCGTAAGAAAGTGTAGTGCTGAGGAGTCGCCGTTAGCGTAAGCAGCAATCAATAACATCTTTAAAACACTTCCTTTGATAGATGTTACTACGGACCGAAGTCCAAACCTAGCACTTACAAACTTACACAATGTTTCATGTCAGTGGAGTAAAAGATGTTATTAAATGGGTGCTACAACACGATGAGTGATGTATTATGATTGCACACATTTGCAACATTTTTACTTTCAGTTAAATAGTTTATGTAAGATTAGGGCAAAAGCCCTTACGAACGACGAACGCTTACGGGTGTCGAACAGGATCCACTTTTCATCACAGGTTTCACTTTTCATTCGATTCAGAATTCTCTCGTTTCTATGCCGATTCAGTCGTACTATGCATGTTTCGACGTGTAACACTCGCCGATGGTCGCTTATCTTATCGACTCAGCTAGCTTTTGACGCAAGTGCTTCAATGTTGACCGCTTCCACTGTCGCCTTCAATTCGTCGTTGTCGACTATAATTACCGGCGGACAGCGAGCCTCGTTCTTCAAATCAAAATTTCCAGATCTGAAATGATTGTATCAATAAAGAACCGTGTTCATGCAAGCAGTGTTAGGAACGTACTCGTTGTTAATTATTTATGTTAGCGCAGCAGTATTTCCACAGAGGAACACATATTTAAAAATTTGCACGAATTTTTAGTTTAACCATGGCGCCAAAAATTACCCCAATATCACAAAATAAAACATCTAACTAAAACCAATGAATGAATTGAATATTAAAATAGCATGGCTTTAGAATAAAATATATTTGAATTTCAAATTGCGCGCCAATCGACTGATAATTAAAATCTGAAAATGCTGGTTTTAAAAATCTTCAATTTCATAGGTAGGACCTATTATATAATTATTTATACGTACCTTCATTATCCCGATTACAGTAGTCAACACGCCTGGTCAAAACATCAGGTTTGTTTAAAAGTTTGTAAGTACCCGCTACAGACTCATAATAATCTGTTTTCTCTTGCACCTACCGCATCATTTTTCCACATCACCCGAAGGTTGACTAGCAGAGAACTCCCTGGGCATTAAGTCCACCTGTGTACAACTTGTGCGTTAAGTTTTATAAATATATGTAAATAAATAAACAAATTTTGTTTTGTTGCGAAGCATGCACACATACAATTTGTATATTTTCATTTATACTGTTCGGTGTCTGTTTGTTCTATTCAGACAATGACTTATTCGTAGTTATAAAAGTTTATTGTGTGCCAATATATGTACAAGTATGGTCCTAGGAGCTTGCGAGCGAGACTATAATTATAATAATTCCAAAACTTGTAGCGAACACTACGGACCTCTTCTTAAAAACATACAATTTTGCGACAGACGCTAATGAAATTTTGCAAAAGCCTTCAAAGGACCAGTTGGAGAGATGTTCGGATCCTATTTTTCTGTGATTAGTCTGATTGTCATCTCTGAGAGGCTAGACTCTGTCTGCGGGTTACAAGAGCAAACTTTGGCGTAAGTTTCCTGGTAAACTTTGAGAGACGGGTGTCGATGTGGTCGGTGAACGCGCGGCGGCGGCCCTGATGCGCCCGACTTCAGTTACATGAGAATTCTCCCTACATTTGCAAAGCTAACTTGACGTTGCCATTTAGTGCAGACTTTTAAGCGTCGTTCGCTGTTAAGGCGTGGATTAGCCTTTGATGAGCCTCCCAACTCCCTGAACGCGTTTAAGTAGCACAATTCACACATTACGTTGCACGTTATCGACGAGACTTTTATTCGGGACGTAATATCGGAGTATGTCCAATAGTTCTGCATACACTTTACTGTTTCCACATTTATTCATAATAAAGAACAATGGCAGAAACATATTTACCTAAAACTTAAGCGTTTAAAAAATCCAGTCACAGTAAACTCAATCAATATTTTTTCTATGATTTATCATTACACCACCATGTGTTGTATAAGTCTTATAAGAGATAAGATATTTTTGAAGATTTATTTGACCTAAGTACGTAATGTCAGATTCGCGATCATGTATAACTGACTAGGGATGCGTGGTGGCAATATTATATTAGGGAACATTTTATCGATAATCGATTCTTATAGCTTTGGCTGAAATATTTACCGAAGGTTCACCTATTATGATTATGAATTTGCTTCTGCCCACGTCTTCACTCGTACGGTAGAGTGACTGAATCAACATAATTAGAAATTATTTAAAATATTTTTGACTCTCTTTAAATGATTTTAAACACACTAAAGAAATAGAATATAGTTACGATAATTTCCACTACACAGTGTGATGAGAAAAATACATTGTCATTGATAACGGCACATAAATAGACATACATCGATATTTTCAAAATGTCGATACGTCGTCGTTTAGATCCTGTCGAATTCCGGACTCACCACGTGTGTTATTTTATTTTTGTTTAATTTAGTGTTAAACTCGAATAGATGTTATGCTTTTATTTTTTTTTATATCATATACAATAATAATAATGAAAATAATATTTTCGGCTATCTGACACACAACGCCATCTAGTTTCAAACAAAACATTAACAATATGTTAGTACTTAACCTCGAAACATTCAAAATCCAATATCTTTTTTCCTAGACTTCTTTTGCAAGTTATTTTGATATGAGAATGGTCAAGAATAAATTCTCAAGTGTTAAGGATTTTTTGATATTTAAACGCTAACATTTCAGTTCAAATAAAATTATGTATGGGGACCTGCCATTGTCCTTTAAGTAGTTTTTTAAGATTTCGACGTTGGACAGTCTTTACATTATTGTTTCACGTTTGGAACATCTCGATCAATAAAATTATAGACATATTTACAAAATAATTTAGAATTCAGAAGAAGCACATGAAATGTAGTTAACGTGAGTCTCGGGTGATCCATCAGCCGGTGCGCTGATGGATCACCAATGGAAGAGCTCCGAACGTCCAGTACGTACGGCGCGGTGTAAGGCTAACGACCAAACGCGCCATTAAATACCAGTTAATAGTGGCATATACGCGCGCGATCACTTTATTGGCTACTTATCTTGTCGCTGTAACTCGTCGGGCGATGCAAACTGCCCATTACATGTCAATCCACTTGTTTGGCGCGATGCCCTCGACCGTTACTGCTCGCAGTGGACGACAAATGTCCAACACAACACTTCCACTGCGCTAACTGTTAGTGCATGACATTGTGCGCATTGTGACAGTGCGTCATTACAGACTGTTTAAGAAAGTAATAGAGTTGAGTATGCCTATAATTAATTGTATATGTATATTAAATGTTTAATTTTAAATATATTTATCGGTTTTTTTAAACAATTTCCATGCTTAGTAAGTAAAAATTGTGTACCCATCTTTTAAATAAAATCAATACTGGATACAGAATACTCTGTGTTTCTTTGTGGTTTCAGGATTCCTCTCACGCCTGCTGAGAAGCAGCGAAGATACTGAGAAGGAAGCAGATTGTAAAAGAAAAGATCTAGAGAGATACCATGCAAGCAAACGCTTAGTACGAGAATTAACAACACGTTTTAACATCGAGTATTAAAAATGAAATAGCGAGGGAAATGTTAAACGGGGAGATAAGGCCAGTGCTCTCCGTATTGTTATGCATACACCAGAGTCATCACCTCCTCGCTTAAATAGTCCAGCCCCTTCAGACCAAGATCAAGTTATTCCAATAGCTTGTAAGCCTTTGTCTACACCCCAGCTGTCTACATCCCATGAAAATACTCCTAATTCCTTTCAATTAGCAGCTGTTCGCGACAGAAAGCAAGTGACAAGAAGCAGATCAAGGATAGTAAGAGATACCATAAAAATGAAAGAAAAATTACAAAAAAAAACGATACAATAACGAAAGAAATCTAAAATTGTAGAAATATAAAGTAGAAATGAAATAGAAATCATACGAAATTGTCCTTCTGTAAACCAAGGTTACATGCTAAAAACACAACCCTTGCTTAAAGAAGGTTTTAGGTTGCAAATTCAAGGATTTTTTTCAATTTAACGACATATCAAGAGCGACAGCCGGAAAGAAGGAAACAGAGTTTCTAAAGAAGAATAAAATGCAGAAGCGCTACTTGCTCGATAATATGAAGAACCTTTATCTATCTTTGAAACGTCAAAACCCTATGTTGAGATGTACTCGTAGTTCCGAAAATTTTACACGATACAGACCATTTTATATTTTGCTCCCAACTGCAAGAGAGACATGTTTGTGTTGAATTTATATGAACTTAGCAATAGCTTTGTGTAAAAACAAAGTTATATCAACCTCTGATCTTAACAAAATTATTGTTGACCAAGTATCTGATCAAGATTCACTATTATGTATGACAGCAATCTGTACTGTATGCTGCTTAAAATACAAAAAAGGGCTACTATGTTGCTTTATTACAACTTTGTTACTTTACTGTCCCAAATATTTAGAACATTAATAAAGATTTTCATGAAAAGTTAATTAATATAATAAGATAATATAACAGTAGTCAACAGTTAAAATGTCGAGAGATTGAGGATTTTGTTAGAATTTAATGTTAATCAAAATTCAAGAAGTAATTATGATTGTTAAAATTAAATAAAACCTGTAATTTTAAATGTGATTTTAAGATAAAAGACTGTAATTAATAATAATTCGAAAATATTCACGACTTTATTTTGTTTAATTTCACGATAAACGGTAAAACGTAATGATAACTGATATTTTTTAATATCCTATCCTACAAAATTTGTAATTATTCGTAAATCATTAGTTAGACTAGTCATTCAATCATTAGTTAATTAGAGAGTTAGAGTTAGGTATCAAAGTTCAGTTATTTTGACACACATCGACAAAAATTAAGATTTCTCAAACCGAGAGGTAGGGTCGAGAAATCTTATATCCTCCTCCCTCTTCTTACGTAAAATTCAATTTTGTTTTTCTGGATAATAAAAGGTTGTTAGAAAAGGATCAATTACACTAAAACTGACAGTTTGACGTGAATCAAACATTTATATTTTTAGCAGATAATTAAGGTTATACTTTATCATTGCTATCAGATATAGATTATCTTTATATTATAAGTTAACTAGCTAGTCTTTGGAATATTGTTATTATAATTAAAAGTAAGTTTTTTAATAATTTTAAAGTAATTTAGCATAAATCAGTTAAACAATCTTTAAGCGAATAAAACTTTTAAAATAATAATCGACTAGTTTTAAATGACTCTTAAAGAAAATGAATTTTACAGTAAAAGTTGATACTCGGGCAGAATTCACTATAATATAATTATTATTTATGACATTTAAAATGGATGAAAATGAACATATACATATAACATTTTACTAAACAATAAAAATTTGTAAAATAAGATGTAAATCGAAGTGCACATTATGGAATGAAGAAAATCATTCAGCATCCGAAATAGAAATAATAATAATAGAAAAAAAATCGACTTCTTAAATGTTACATGAGAATGGGTCTTACCCCTCCTCCTCCCCAAGACAAGAGGGGCCTGGAGACCCTTACGCAATTAATGAATAGCCCCTAAGAGATTTATTGGTAACAACAACACAATCAAAGAGCTCACAGGTACTCTTTAGAGTTATTTCTTGTAGGTTTCACGAAGTGTAGTAGACACGGTGGTTACGGTGACATGTTAACATTTATGCATGTGTATTCATTAGCTAGTTATACTCGTTGACTTCATCGCCTACAGTATTTAGGCAAACTGTTAATTCTGTTTGTTCATTATGTTACTACCACATCGGAATCGATATAATTTCTCAATCGTGTGCATCTAATTCACAATCTTCGTGAATGCGTTAAAGGCGCTGCGCTTTATTATTTATGATATGTTGTTGCAGGGAGACGAATTCACGGGCGGCCCTACAGGGTATCGAGGGAGCCAAATAGCTCCTGTGTTGTGACTTTCTGCGACGCGAGTCCAACGGTACACCGCGCCGCACCGCAGCAACGCCGACTCGCCGGTATACTACGCATTTTTGCATAACCATTCTACTTACTGTGTCGTAAGCTGACCAAGCGAGTCTTACAACTGTTAAAAATATTAAAGTATAAAAATCTAAAGTTGTAAATAGATAAGATCACGAAGTAGAGCCCACTTACAAACGCAGCTTTAGATACGTCTCCTTTAGATAAAACTAACATTTCTTAGCCCTTTAAATGCTCTGAAAGCTGGTCATTGAAGAATTGTATTTTTCTGTTCAATTAATATGAGTCAACTCAATACAAATTATACAACTCTAACAATAGGCACGTTCTCCACCTACTTTCCCTACATAAAAATATACATAATAATGTCAGTATAAAAACATTTTTGTTAAAACTTGGTATTTACCATATCGAGTTTTTTAATAACATATTGAGACATATTCCTTTGCTGGAAGTGGTCGAAGCTACGTGGCACTTTACGCGCACAATTAATTTGCACTCTCTATAATACGGTCGGAGTTTTAACAGATAATAAATGTATGAAAGGTTCAAACCTACAATAAACAATGCACACTTGCACCATTCGGGTGAGTTAACCGCTGCTGCACTGGTTTTGGTTTACCCTCTATCACAATTCATTTATTATATTTTGTTTTGCTGTCGTTGATCGTCGATAAGACTCATTACATATGTAAGTATCGATATCGAAATATAAAAGTGTTAAGCGGTGTAACTGCACTCGTCTGTCTATATTAGTTGCTATTTGACTCAAGGTGCGGCTACTAGACTTGCATACTGCGCTCTGCATTCACTCTGAAACTTACATGTGATGGGGTGAGAGCATTTAGCAACAAGGCTATTAAAGTCCATGTGGAACTATTACAGTATAGGACTCGCAACGGCAAGCACACTTAGTATCCATAAGAGGTTTTAACGCACCGGCGAGGTGCGTGTTCACAGTGAAGTGAGGGCAGAGGTGTGATGTTCAACTGTATATTGCTTTCTTCTCTATTCGCATGTGCTGGTATTATTTGAGAGTAGATATGTACCTATTAACGTGCCTTAAATATTTTTCACTAATATCTATCAGCATACTGTTCTAATTTTTGGAGCAAGGAGCGAAAAACGTAAAAAAAAAAATTTACAAAATGAACTAGTAAGAAACCGTTCACTATGCTGCCGAGTGCTCTTCACTCCGTCACGATGCGCGGCGGCACTTTGTTGTGTATTTTGTAAAGAACACGCAAATTGAAAATACGAGTAGATTAATTATAACTCTGCGAGAACAAGACGGAGACCATTTTCGTGCTACATTGAGGCGTCATGTTACGGCCAATGAATGATTTATTTAATTGCAAAATAATTACATAATATTTCTTCACTTTCGCTACGTCGTAGCTCCTCCTTGCTACGGGAACAACTACGCCGAGACCTTTTCTATCCTTTCAGTAACGAAAACTATTGGAGTGTTTAAACGAACATCGCGTCGTGTTGTATCTTTCGTCCTACATCAAAGGAGTTGAGAGCCGTTGAAACTTAGAGCAAAGATGGCAATTTACCATTGCCGACTTCAAAGAAAACAGCGCTCAATTTTAATAATTATGACGAACGTATCGCCATAATTATTAAAATTGAGCGAGCGAGATGCAGCGGCTCAAGTGCCAAAATAACGTATTTAAGGCCTTCGTTTAGTACGCTCGTATATTTTTCCCCTAAATATTGTTTATCATATCCACGCATCTCTGTGTGTTGCGATACCCGTGAAGTGACGTAAATAACCTGTTGGCGGCGGAGACGGTCTCGGGAGGCAGGGGGTGAAGGGTGGAAGGGTTGCACAGCTCAGTCAGCATATCGGTCCCTTTATTATATTTGATCCACGCGCATTGAGGGGATCAGCCTGAAATTGATGAGTTTATTTCATTTTTATACTCTCGCATATCTGAGTGTAAGTTGAGTACGTGTTCGCTCGAGAACCTTCCTCCTGTCACGTGCATGGATCTCATTCTTGGTTACGACCAAACGTCACCGTTCATTATAAATTAGAATTTGAGTTAGACGTAGAAATACCTAACGGAAATGATAATAAGGTCATGTTGCAATAAATTCTATGTAAAGCGAATTAGTACAACTTAACAAAATAACAAGTATCAGTGTAGCCTTTTAAACGAATGTAATTTTATTTACAAATGGAGGAGGATTTTGTTCAGCAGTATTTTTTTCAGGGTTCGGCTCCTTAAGAGGAAAAAGGAGTCCTTAAAGGATCACTTCGACACGGCTTTTTTCTTGAAATATTGAAGATTGTATGAGGCGCAAAGTACCGCCGACGAGCATTTTGCCAAAATTACACCTTATAAAGTCGCAGTCGGTGGGCCATTACGCCAAGGATCCAATGCTGGCTATGGCAGTTAGGAAAGTGCTTTCAAAGTGACATAAGGTACTAAAACGGTATTACTACCATGCTGGCGGGTTAGGTAAGCTGGTCGCAGTGGTCTCTTTCTGTGAAGCTGTAATGCTCCAGAAAGAGACCGCTGAACCGGATCGAGACAGGACCGATCCCGAGCGTAGAGCACGTCGGCGGCGATACCAGCCAGAGCGGACGCCCGCGGCTTCTTTCGTGAAAGTGCCTGCCCAGGCATGGCGTTAATTGAACTATATATAGATATATAAACGGTTCAGATTACCTAATTGTTAAAAATGTACCGTACCCGAGGTACACTGAGTGTAGTCCGACCTCACCCAATATATAGTTAGCATTTTGTGTGTTAGAGTCCTGTCATTAGGTCGTCCGGTCGCCGACAAAAATGCGGCTCGCGTACGCGCTCCTCTGTTTCTCATTAAATACTCCTCGTGGAATGCAGCGGTCAGCCGAGTAATGGAAGACCCTCCTATCGCTCCCGATATTGTTAAAATTAATATCAAAAGAATTCTCATGTCAGCGTACTTACCGCTCACCAGTCTTGCCTCACTACATGAGGTTATAATAGTATTGAGTAGGCATACAAGTATACAAGTGCAGTGCGTGATACAAAATGTAAGCTACATATACAACTAAATTGCATTTGACCTTATTACGCTTTACTTGAAATACGATTAAATAATAAAACGAATAAAACAATATTATAATAAATTATGTGAGGGATTTCCTGTCTTGTTCTGTTTATAACTCATGTGTAAAGATGTAAAAGCCATACGACAGAGAAACTCCTACAGGCTACGCTATACACGCGTAGCTCGTGTGCTACGAACGAACGTACGTCTTGAAGTCTTCTATCGCTAACCCGTACAAAACTCTAAATTTATATCTACTGGTCGGCTTCAGAGGCGCAGCAGAAAAAACGATTAATGAATTTAAAACGACGACCAAATGGCGTAGTGGTTTGTGTAACGGACTTCTATTCCAAAGGTCGCGGGTTCGATTCCCGCTCGATTTAAACATTTGTGTGCATGAACATTTAATGTTTGATTTGGTCTGGGTGTTTCTATGTATTATAAGTATGTATTTACAAACAAAAAGTATATATGTATTTATATCAGTTGTCTGGTAGCCATAGTACAAGCTGTGCTTAGTTTGGGACTAGATGGCGTTGTGTGGATGTGTTAGAATATTATATTGTTATTACATAATACACATTATATTAAAACTAAAATAACAAGTGTTTTGTGTCCATCGACCTTAACCCCAAACAAATGTAAATAAGATATAAAACAGATTTAGAGTAGTATTAATTCAAATAGTTTATTATTATTAAGTATACTTTTTTTTTGTTTTTTTTTCTTGTTTGATTGTTATTAGTTTACTACTTTTTACACTACTACATTGAGTAAATGCTATGTACGGTGTAAATAGCATTTACTTATTGTCATACATATGAGGTATAATGCGTAATAAAGCGTAGCGTGAGGTATAAAGCGTAATAAATAAGTAAATAAATAAATTACAACTGTATTTTTTATCCAGTAACAATTTTCATTTGAAGGATAGTGTACGCAGGGGTTATGGACAAATTAGGTAACAGCATTGATTTATACAGCATAACCACCAGCATACCAAATTAAACGACTGGCTAGTCACAGTGACGGGGAGCGGCGCACCCAACACCACATATTTGCATTTTTATTGGCGCAATTAGTGCGGTCCATTTGCCAGCCACTGGCTCGAGGCCGGCACTTTTATTTCGCTCTCTTTCGGTTGAAAGCACTCGACTATGCTATTTTACAAGAAAACAAAAAAAAATCTCACTTTGGAAACGTCTTTCCGACGAGAGAATCTTGAAAATGAATTTGCAATAAATTAATCTTTAAACATCGTAAATATGACCATATTTCCTGCATTCGTCACGACTTGAATTATCTATCTCTTTTCCATTATCAATTCACCTACTACCCCTTCTTTAATGGCATCCTCCTTCCAATTTCTATGTTTTATGCTTTCACCTCGGGAACGCTCTCCCACTGGATATCAGCATAGCACCCAGTTGTTTTTAGTTCAAGACCAAAGGTAGAGGATACCCTAGCACCTCGCAGATTCATCACAATCTCAATGCGTCATATATCATCTTTACATATTATAGTATAAAATAAAGCTTAGGTCTTTTAAACTAAGCAACGGATTTTAATGCAATTTTCACCAATAGAGAGAGAGTGATTCAAGACGAAGGTTTGTATGTATACGAGTAATACATGCATATTATACCAGAGAAAATCCGGAAATTTTAAACATTTTTTGTAAAAAATATGCTTTTGTGCGCTTTTTTTTAATTTTTTTATTTGCGCGTCGAAGCCGATATTCCACAAGTATGGACCTAGCACCGATCCCTGAGGACATTCCATTGTAAGCGCCTTCGACACAGAATAATGACCAAGTCTTAGTTTAGTTGTACCTTGTGAAAAGTACGAAGAGTTAAGGGAATAAATATTTTTAAAGCACCCTCGTGATTTTAATTTCAGCAACAGCATGGGCCACCATGCGTTGTCGAAGGCGCCAGATATATCTAAGAAAATAGCCAGCACGTATTGAAATTTTGACTCTGTGACA